TCTCCATTTAATCGAAATGCCACATTATATCAAGAATGAATAAATGGTAACTTACTTATTTTCAGTAGTTTTTGAATATTGGTATTCATAATACTGCCTTTCAGGAGTTAGCCTGGTTTTTTCCACTTTTTAGCATAAGTTTCGCATTTTGAAAGACACATTCACCATTTTGTCCTTGTTGTAGTCACTTTTGTGATGATTTTTAATTGTAAAAAAGTATGAAAAATAAAATAATTAGAAATGTCTAGTAGCTCTGATGCATTAATACGAAATATTTTCAATTTGTACAAACATACAATTTCTGAACCTCTTAAAATGGTTTTTGAAGCCTGTAGAATATAAGAAATGAGATTTTAAAAAATCATATTCAAAAATCTTTATTGATATTGATCATGGCGTAGGAAGAAAAAATGGCATGAATTTCCATTTTATGTTTTTTAAGTTTCTTGTAACCCTTGGTCTTAGTTATCAAGTGCCTTTTTGGGGTAGTGACATTTTTAATATAATCAAACTTAGTTTTCTGACAGTTTCAAACTTAGGATGCAGTGACCAAATATTCGGGGAAAATTATCAAAAACGCTTATTTTCAATGTTTCTTTACAGGTCATCCCAGCATCAAAAAATTTAAGATGTTCAGAATCTGTATGTGTAATTCATTCAAAAAATACTTTTAGCGTGAGGTCTCATATACCATAAAATCTTTATCATATGTTAAGGAATGCAAGTTTGGTAAGAGTCTTACCACTTTGGACTTTCGAATATGGTGACAAGTACATCCATGCTAAAATCTCTATATTACTTTTTTGAGGTTAACAGTAATAATGCAATAATCTTCATGATTCAAAATACACATACAGATTTTTCAAAATGTGTAAGATTCTCGATGACGGTCAAACACATACCGCCAAAGAGCTTTGGACCAGCTGTATGTAGCGCAAAATGAATTTTTTATAACTCTTTAACTTCAAAAATTTTCAATCATAAATTTTGTTAAAATTTAGACGTGCCCTATGACGTAACTGTAATCACAGAAAGCCCAGACCTATTAAGTTCAATATAGAAAAAAGTTCAAATTAAAATTAATAATTATAGCGTAGCCCTCTAGATGCTGCATAAAAATTAAACATTTTTTTTCTATAAAGATTCAGTGAGAAATGATTAATTCTCGAGATAAACGTTTAAAAAAAATATCGTTTCTTTGTCATAAGTTTTTTGAGACTACAGCTATTTTTACTAAATTTGATTCACATCTTTATTATGGGAAAAAAACTGTTTATTTTGACGGGATCTATCACATTGTCAATTTTGTAAAGTTCTGAGCATTTTGATTTTGGGTCCCCACAACCCGCATTCATGCAGAAATTTGCCCTATTTTAACAAAAGTGCCTTTTTTGCTTAAACATATCTTGGAAATTGTTTATTTTATAAAAAATTAAAAAACTACACTGAGAAACAAGTTGTGGCCATTTAAAACGATTCGAAGTGCAGTGTGAAGCGCTCTCGAACTTCCACAATGTCGATATTCGGATTTCGCATCCCAAAAACCCCCCGGTTCCAATTTTTGAAGAAATGTTCATGGATTAGAAAAAAAGAATTTTTATTTTCTAACTTTGCCACCCTGTATCTCGGAATCGGAGCAATTTTGGACTAAAGTAAATTACGTCAAGTCGGCTTATTTAGAACTCAGTAATATGTGCTAAAATTTTGTAAAGAGCCTTTGGGGACGCTCTATATAGTGCAGCCAACTTCAATTTTTGCCATTTGACAATTTTTGATACAATGTTTCAACGAGAATCTCTTTAGCTTTCTAATGAGGTATGGCTCATAAAAATCGGTTTACCAGTAACAACATTAGAAATCTTGATACTTGAAACGGTGCTTTCTGAACCACTGTGCGGCGCAAGATTTCAAGTGTTATGACTGCGAATTTGCTGCGATTATTGTTATTCAAGTAGGTAATGCTTCTTGGCTGATTCAGAAGCAGATATTCAGAAGTTGTTTGAAGGACTATCCTCCGACGCAGTGAGTTTCAGGTCATTTACAAGGGTTTAGCTGCTTCGAAACTGAAACTCCATTTTTAAATATTTTTGAATGAAACGGATACAGCAGGTTCAGAAGACAATTGCCCAGGGTGGTAACGGAGCATTTTTTGAAACTTAGTTTTTTTGCACAAGATTTATGGTGGGTTAAAATGCCTACTCTTTTTGTTGAACTTTGCGATTTTTTTAAAGAGAGCCTAGTTGAAAAAATCAAAAAGTGTCTCGATTGCACCCTGTACGGTTTTGTTCTCAGCAAGCTGTAAAAATTTCATTCAAAAATATTCAAAGATGAAGCATCAGTTTCGAAGCGCGCAGTTGTGTTTTTAAGTCTTATATGGCACGAAAAACTATATCATTTCCGTCTGACGGTCTGCCAATCCTTTGCCCGTCCATGACTTGGAAATTTCCACTATGCCAAAGCTTTGAGGTTTCAGTCCTGTGACGGCCGCGCTATAGGCAAAAAACGAAAAAAATATCAAAAGTGGAAACTCCGATTTTGACTTTCAGGGGTTTCTAATCGTTGTCATAAAAAAAATGTAGTACTTAAAAAGTGGGTGTTAGGGGAAGCTGATATTTAATGTTGCATCTTTGATGTGTGGAACACGGTCTATTATTAAGTAGTAATTACAGGAAATTTAAGTGACGGAAATCCGACGAATAATTCTTAGGACTAGAATAGTTAAAAAACTAAAAAAACAAGCTTTTATAGCTAACTGAAAATAACTTTTAATTACCAAGAGTTTATATTACAGTACTAGATGGTCGAACAATCAATCATAATTAATGACCTCAAAATAAAATTATAATAACATTTAAGTTATTAACAGAATAATTCAATTGACATATTAAAAGTACAATCATTCTATTGCCATCTATCTATGAGAGGAGAGTTATGAAAACTGTAGTAAAATGCATCCCAAGCTTTTTACTCTGAATTGAATTATTCTGTTAAAAACTTAAATTTTATTATAATTTCATTTTGAGGTCAGTAATTGTGACTGATTGTTCGACCATCCACTATTATAATATAAATCCTTTGTAAAATTAAAAATTGTTTACTAGTTATTAGTTCGGTTAGCTATAAAAGCGTGCTTCTTCAGTTTTTCTAAACTATTTCAAACACGTTTTTATTATAATGCTCACAAAGCTAATTTTGACAGTTTGTAACTAATAAACAATTTATTTGTTTCCAAGGATGATGCGAATTAAGCCATTCCATAAAAAGCGTGCTAATAACCGAAAAAATAGCCGTAAAAACTCTTATATGTAAGTTAAATTACTGATACCGAGATTGATGTTTAAAAAAAAAAAAGCTTTATTTCCAAAATGAGAATGAGAAATGAGTAGTCTAAAAATTAAAGTTTCATACTCGTATTCATAAATTGCTTTCTTGACAGTTTCTGATAGCGATTGTACATTATTTTGAATGAGTTTCATGTTTCTCTCAAATTTTTATGAAATGAGCTGAGCGAATGCTTTTTGATTGTTAATAGCCACTATGAGTTCGTTCTCTTTGTCTCTTAATGATATAAATTTATCGTTGATTTCTGTAAGATCGTCCTGATCTAAGTTACCCGTCACATACCTTATAATGCTTCCCAATCCGTTAATAATAGCTCGACGTTTCCTACTATATGAATGGTAAGGCGATAATTTTGAATATTCTGCTTTTACGTTAATGATATTTTTATACAAGTCCTCTAGTACCCGTTTAAGATTTGTATCGTCAGAATAGTTTATTAAGGCTCTATAACTAACTTCTACCTTATTAATAACATCAGCTATTAAGCTGAGATTATGACTAAAAATAAACGTATGATAATGGCTTATCAGTTTCGCATCACCTATTGGTTCCGAACAGTGGCGGCTCGTGCCAATTCAGTGAGGTAGTGCCAGAATGGAAGCCATAATTTTGAATCGATTCAAAATTGTAAAGAATAACTTATAACATACCCCTGATAGTTAGTGGTCAAAGTTCTTGAGGTTCAATAAATCTATATGTCCAAAAAAAAATCAAAAATAAAACTATTTACACACGCGCACCAAATTATAAAACAAGTGTGGAGAAGTACCTATAACTTCAAAGTTTTCTATACATGAAGTCCATTCTTCTTTCTTTTTTGGTAGCAAAGTTTTCGATTACCTTATTATTAAAATTTTCAATGCCACTAACAAAATGTTTTTCTGCAGACAGCATTCCTAAAGCACTAAGCCTTTCTTCCTTCATTGTGTTTCTGAGGAAAGTTTTAATCCGTTTCAGCATTGAAAAAGAGCGTTCCGCTTCAGATGTTGACATGGGTATAGTGATTAAAATACTTAAGAGCTTAAGAGTTTCTTGAAACGTACAATTTAATCCTTCCTCGTTCAATAAAATGGATAGTGGAACAGCTCCAGAAGTAGTTCTCAATTCTTCTCTCTGATATAATACTTGTAACTCAGTTTTAAGCCTGTTTTTGTCTAAGAATGAAAATTGTGTGCAATGGTCATTTAAATGTGCTTCATGAAACTGATGTTTATAAACAGAAAACTTTTCAGACACAAATAAATTAGAAGCAACTAAATGTCCAGAAAAGTTAAATCTTGTTCTTATTTGCGATAATACTGCATCGCATATTTCTAACGCTTCCCGTTTTTTGCTGCCTTCTTCAACTTGCCTTTTTTTTCTTGCCGGTTTATCAGTTTCTCTCTGCACTCGTTCAATCTCGTCAATAATGCTATCCATTTGTTCTCGTATAGTTTGAATTGCTGCTTCAAAATTCTCTAAATCATTTTTGACCTTAACAGAATCGGTGCATACTTTTTGTAATTGGTTAAAGACAATTTCAACATGTGGCATTATTTTATGGAATATACTTAGCCAAAATACAAAATTTGTATCTTGCAGCTTTAATTTGTACCCACTGGCTTGATTAATCGACGAAGAATCGCGTGAAGTACTTTCTATATTGTCCATAACTTCAATCAGGCCTTTCCTATTTTCATAAACTGTATGAACACCTCATGACTGAAAATTCCAACGTGTTTGGGAAGATCTTGGCAATCTGCAATTAACTATTTCATCCAAAATTTTTGTCCTTTGAGGAGACGTCGAAAAAAAAGAGCACAATCCAGATAAATTATGGAAAAATATTCTAGCCTGCTTATTGACAGAGCATGCGCTTGTCATAATTAGATTTAACTGGTGTGCATAGCAGTGAACATAATTTGCAAGTGGATAAGTTTCCTTTATAATTTTTTGAACGCCATTCAATTCACCACTCATAACAGACGCACCATCATAGCTTTGAGCTATTAATTTGTTTGGATTTTGATCTAGTAATGGATTTACAACATTTAAAACGCATGCAGCGATTGATTTGGCATCGTGTCCGTCGGGGACGTAAAATCTCCAAAATCTCTCAAGTGGTTGTCCTTTACACAAATATCTGAAAATAATAACTAACTGAAATTCACAGGCTACGTCAGTCGTTTCATCGGCAATTACTGCAACAAAAGGAGAATTTGCAATCTCCTTCTTAACTTCTTCATGATAAACATCTAGCATTTTTTTTTTTTTTTTTTTTTTTTTTTTTAACGAGGGGGGAATGCATTTACGCACCATACCATAGCACGAGCTACGACGTGTGTGGGGCTCCAGGGTCTTGAAGAGATCACCTAATACCCACTAAACCCTAAACCTCCGCGTGGCCCGACTCATCAGCGTCTCGGTAGGCCATGTGTTGTGCGTGACCTGCGGTCTGCTACAACGTCTCCTCATGTGTTTCAGTCTCTGGGAACGCCGGGTTGGTTCCCTTTACCTCGCACATTCTATCGATGTCGTTAAGCGATCATCGATAGAGGGTCTGCTAGTTTCTCTTGAAACTCTTGTTTTCGAAAAATCAAGAGTTTCAAGTCCTCTTACCAATATGTTGTTCCTGGTCCTGGTCCTGAAGGGTCCTGGTCCTGGTGGGTCCTGGTCGTGGCGGGTCCTGGTCCTGGTTGGTCCTGGTCCCGGTGGGTCCTGGTCCCGGTGGTTCCTGGTCCTCTGCATCCACGCCGTGGGGTGAGGGGGGGGAGCAGCCGCAGTTCTCCTAGTCTCCTAGTCAAGGTTCCAGTTAGCGGGTGCCAACTGGGACCTTGGTCTGGGGTACCTGGTTCTGCGGTTGCGAGGCCTCTCGTCCGGATCGTAGTCCATGAGGAATCGTAGCTGCTCGTTCGGGTGGTCCTGAGCTTTCTCGAAGGTCTTCTCCGCTTTTTTCCTCATGTACTCGTGGATGGTATCCCAATGCAGGTCTCTACGCAAGGTTGAGTTCCTTACGTAGGAAGGTGCATTGGTGGCGATCCGGAGTAGCTTCATCTCTAGAGCAGCAAGTCGCTTGCTTAACTTCTTCATGATAAACATCTAGCATGCACTCAAGAAGCTCGTTTTGAGTTGTTTTTGAGGTGCCCTTGAAAAGTTTGGCACTTTGAATATGGACTTTCAATTCGTTGTCTAATTCGGCGCTAAAATTCACCAGCTCCATAAATATGCCTCTGTTTTCCGAATTTTCCTTTTCATAGTGACCCCTTAAGGCTAACTCAAATGCTCCACAAAACCTTATACAATTAATAATTTTATTCAATACATATCGATTCTTATCCACTTGATTATTATGTTTAATTAGATCATTGCGATAAGCCGAATTGAGTTGAGTCCTTATATTTAATTTACCAAGAATAGAAAAGCTAAAAACATTATTCATATGGACTTTAGATTTTTCGTGGGTCTTCATTTTATCCCATATATGTATAAGATCGTCTGTACCTTTTTTTGACCAAGTCTCGTCACCTCCAAATAGAACACATACAAAACAAAATAGTTTATTCGTTTCTTCACAACCACATATCCAGCTGTTTTTATCGTACACATTTTTATTAAATTTGCGACAGCGCGATTTTTGTCCGCTACCACTTTGTTTCTCAATTTTTAAATCGGGTATTGGCGGTCCTAATTCTTTAATTTGCAGTTTTTGATCCAGCGAAAAACCACTAAATGAGTTTTTTAATATCCCGATTTTATTCATTTTCACTAGTTTTAATAAAACAGTAAAAAATATGATCACAAAACAGAGCAGTTCATTAACACTAGACGTACTAAAACAAAAAAGGTATTTTTCACTTTTCAGGTAAAAAAAGACCGAAATCAGCACTAGACGTAATCATAACGAAACGACCGACCGAACAAAAACACCGCCGATATCACTTGATAACGAATTACGACTGATGATGTGCCTGGCACAAATTATACTTGTCTTTCGCTATTCACCTCATATAAAAATGTGTAGGGTAGCGTTATCTCTGTCGCTCGTATGCGATGCTAGTAAAATTTCTCTCTTTTTATTTGGGCCGGCCCAAAATTGGCACAAGTTGATGACGTCAAGGTCAAGGCGGGCTTTCCGTCTCGCGTGGTTCGGGTGCTTGCGGTGTTGTCACGTTGTCAGTGTTGTCACTTCATATAATTTATACCAAAAAAAAAAAAAAAATGAAAAAGCAGAAAATAAAGTAAAACATTGAAGATTGAAAAAAATATTCTTTTTGAAGAAGACAAGGTAGTGCCATGGCACCGTGGCACTACCTCACGAGCCGCCACTGGTTCCGAATAGAAACCATTATTAGTTGGAACTTGATGAAGCCTCAGCTGTAGACTCTGCGACCATAGAGTTGTCAGTAACAAGATCACACACTGAAAATCCATGAAAGGCGCGGTTTTCTGTCTTCTTCTTTTTCTCTGTTTCGGCTCCACTAGCTTCTACAGTAGACTGGCTGTACTGCTACAGTTGCTGCACACCCTCCTAGTAGTGCCGGACTTACTACTAACTTTTTGGGAGTTCTGGAACTTCAGGCCGTGGCCCAGTGCTAATGGTCCTCAGTACCTTCACTCGGTTGCTTATTACTGGCTAGGATCCCTCCAAGAACATTGAGAGTTCGCGTGCCTTTTCGTTTAACTGGTGATTTCGGCTTGCCCATAATCTGCTCGATTGCCTCGAATTCGGACGCCGAAGGAACACGTTTCACGTTTCGCGACACGCTGAGGGATCCCAGTTGAGCCCCCAGTTAAATTACTGATACCGAGATTGATGTTTAAAAAAAAAAAAACTTTATTTCCAAAATCGGTACAGAGTGACTTCTAGAGAAACCTTGTCACGTAGGTACGTAAAACAAGACGGTCAAACCAAAAGTGACGAGATTTCCTAACATATGAATCTAGCATGGTATACAAGAAATATGATATGATAAAGAAAACGATGTTAACATGAGAACTAGCAAGGCGCGAGATAACATTCTTGAGCGCCGCGTCATTGCTCGTGAGAAATCAAGTGCCTACTAAGTAAATTATAATTTTATATAATGTACAGGGTGAGCATGGACATAACTTGTATACAGAAAAACTACAATTTGCGTTTTTGACCACCCTGTATGAGCAAAAATCAAAATTGCAAAAATTAACAAATGAGATAAAAGCTGAGGTGTGTAAGTTTTTTTTTGATATAAAATTAAGCACTCCAAATTTCAAAATGGCGGACTGAGGGGTTGCCGAAGTGGGAGGTTTTTCTAGACAAAACACCTTATATCTCAGTAGCTAATTACCAAAACCGCATAATATGTTATATCAATGTTCTTCTTTTGAATCGGTTTATTCAAATATGCAATTAAATTTGAGACATTCTATTGGAAAAATCAAAACTTTGATATGTAGATCGAAATTGGGACACCCCGTACAATGACCAATATTTTAGAAATGTGCCCTCAAATGTCATGTATAATATGCCATATATAGATTGTCCCAAAATGTATTTGTTTATGAGTAATATTCCGTCCACACATGGATGGGCCACCTGTATATATATATATATATATATATATATATGTACACCTTGGGAAAGCCACTATTATACATTATGATGAGGAAGAGAGATGGAAATATACAAAAGTATGTAGGTGCGTGAAAGACACTCGATTGTAGGATTATATCTGGCAGCGTCGGAGTGTGACGGACAACGGGGTAAAGTAGAAGAGTGATAAAAGAGAGAGATGGCAGAACGGGCGCTGGCGCCTGCTGCTTAGAAGAGTATTCCAAAAATGAAAAAGTTCAAACTATTAAAATTGTATTAATGTTTCATGGTTCAAATCATATTTTTCATGTTTGTATATTGTTGTATAAATGATTTTGTAATCCCTATTCTTGTTGCCAGTAGAGATACAACAGTATAGAGAGAAATCATGGACCGCTAGATAGGGCTACAACTACCATATGACTATCAAATAGTAGTGATAAACAGGGTTTGTTTATAGTACAGTTGCCTGGTGTGGCGAATTTGCGCCATAGGGGCGATTTGACAACTTTGAAGCACAACTATAACGGTTACTATGGTGCCCGGTATTCGGGAATCTGGCAATACCTGATGATTCCTAACGTTTATTACGCCAGATTGTTTGCTGACTTGCGCAGTACAACATGACAATCAACGTGACTGAGCACCTGGTAACCCTGGTTTAAGGTGTTATATTTAAAGAGCTTGGGGCAGTTAGGTATCTAGGTCACATTTTTTAATGTATTTCTAGAAATCCGTAATGTTGAGTAAATACTAGATCATGTTTCTTGCTTAGTTTGCTGAAAATTCGACAATAGACGTACATTTTGAGAAACAGAGATTTGGTGACGACAAAATCGTAAAAATATAACGCATTTTCGTAAAATAATTTCTTTGTTGAAAAGACTGTGGCTTGATGACCCATTGAACGAGTATAGTGTCCCGCTCCGCTTTGAATATTAGAAGCACTATACTCCAGCAGCATTCAGCTTCAATGTTATCTTTATGAAGTTCTAACGTCTAGGCCATGCTGATTAAAAGCTTGAATGAATCAACACTTAACTCTAAATTCCCCACAATTCGGGAAGCTCTACTCAAATTGGCAACACAGCGTATCTGCCTATTATTCTCATTCGTGACACAGGTCTGCGGTTAACGGTAGGAATAGCGATGAAAGTAGACGAGCCGATGCGCTGTTGCCAAGAAATGATTTCCCATGTATAACAATGGTTTTTCCTAAGGTGTATATATATATATATACAGGGTGTCCCGAAAAAAGTGTGCAACATTCTACCGGTTTCTAGAGCTTAAAATAGGAAGAAAAGTTTATATAAACATAGGTCGACAAACGTCCCCTAAGGGCGCTACGGTCTTTTAAATGGGCTCTCCTGAAGATGGTTTTTCCTTAATATTTCCGAAACGTGTTGAGATAAAGACATGAAATTTGGTATTCTCACCTAGTTTTTTATGCTGGATTTAAAAATATTAACAATTTTAGACAGCTTTGTTTGGAAGCGTATGTAACAGGGATGGACAGGTTAATTTAGCTCCAAAATTTTGGTGTGATTCTATTTTTGAAATTCAATAGAATTTGCAAATATAGGGTTTTCTTAATAAAAAGGTACTCTTATTGAGTATCGATAAATTGTGCCAGTTTCGAATAAAATCAAACTAAGCAATTTGTCACATGATAGGAAATGTACTTCGAATTTAAATGAATTGTTGAATAATTAGCCATGAGAACGAAAAAACTAATTTAATAATAGGTAAATATTACATGAATACATATTTCTATTGCAACATAGCTAACATTTAGGCAAAAACAATAGAAATAAATTTTTTCTACGAACGAAATTGAAATTTGTTTAAAAAAGAAGACATACAGTTGGATATACTTAAAACTAGCTTTACAATAAGTGTTCAAATAAATTCCCATTTTGTTCGACGAACTAATGATTGCGTAGCCCGAAAAGTGGAAAACCTTTTTCTTCTTATTTCATTTGCAGCCTGATGGATTGTTTGAAGTAAATCTTCTTGAGTATTTACTTCAGTCGAGTAAACTAGGTCTTTTAATGACCCCTAAAAATAGAAATCCAATGGATTTAGGTAAGGTGAACGTGGCGGGCACGCTATAGGACCTCCTCGGCCTAACCACCTGTCTGGAAAATTGACATTCAACCAATTTCGAACATTGCGTCCAAAATGTGCAGGGGCGCCATCATGTTGAAAAAACATATTTTCTTGAAACTGCTGGTGCACATCCAATGGTATTATATCCATGAGCTCATTCTGAAGAAAGTTTAGCTACACCTCTGAATTAAGACGTTTGGGATACTTCCCAATTACTTGATCCCCAATTACTCCTGCCCATAAGTTCAACGAAAATCTATGTTGGAATTTGTACAGCGATCAACTTTTGGATTTTCATCTGACCAGTGATGCATATTACGGAAATTAATGCACCATTCCTAGTAAATATTGACTCATCCGACCATAATATTCTAAGAATAGCGTTTTCATTTGCTAATATTCACTGGCAAAACTCGGTTCGTGGTAAAAAATCTGCCTCCGTTACGTGCTGCACCCGTTTAAAATGATAAGGATGTAAACCTTGCATTCTTGTCATTCTTCCTATCTAAAATTATTATTATTATTAGGATAACTATCAAATAGGTATTCATAAATTTTTCTATTGATCGAGGTTTATCCATAATTTCTGAAACATTTCGTATGCTTATTTGCGGATTATTTTCAAACATATTTAAAGCAATATCTATACGATGATTTCCCAGTGGCCTTCCTGAGTCCTGCATGCGCTGAAAACTTCCATGGTTTGACAAATTCCGGTGAATATCAGTAAACATTCGACGACCAGGTACTATGGGAAATCTTCTTTGATATTCTCTTACGGCTGCCAATGAACTGCCATTGCAAAACCCGTACACAAAATGCATGTCAGTCAGTTCTATGTCTGTAAATCTTGGCATCTTAAATCGATTTAATAAAACTTTTGACTTTAATCTAGTAATCTTACACTGCTAACAATGTCAGCTTAACGTCAAAATAAGTCATAACAAATCAAAACAACTTCTGTTTGCAGTCATGGCTAACTATGTATAATCAACAATTCATTTAAATTCGCAGTACATTCCCTATCATGTGACAAATTCTTTAGTTTGATTTTATTCAAAAATGGCACAATTTAACGATATTAAATAAGAGTACCTTTTTTATGTAGAAGATCCTAAATTTTCAAATTCTAAAATTGAATTTCAAAAATAGAATTACACAAAAACGTTGGGGCTAAAATAACCTGAGTTCGTCCCTGTTACATACGCTTCCAAACAAAACTGTATAAAATTGTTAATATTTTTGAATCCAGCATAAAAAACTAGGCTAGAATACCAAATTTTATGTCTTTATCTCAGCACCTTTCGGAAATATTAAGGAAAAACCATCTTCAGGGGAGCCCCTTTAAAAGACCGTAGCGCCCTTAGGGGACGTTTGTCGACCTATGTTTATATAAACTTTCTTCCTATTCTAAGCTCTAGAAACCGCTGGTAGAATATTGAACACTTTTTTCGGGACACCCTGTATATATATATATTCATACATACATACAAGCATACATACATACATGCATACATATAGGTCAAGCTGATAAAAGCGTGTTAAAAAATAAAAAAAAAGTATACCAAAATCTGCCTCTTGTGAGGATTGAACTCACGACCTCTTGTTTACGTTACCAGTGCTTTACCACTTGGGCTACAGAACCTTCTGATTCCAATGTTCGTAAAGCGGCATTTAAAGTCCGTGGCTTTTTATTAGCAATCTGCTTTTTGCAGAATTTTTCCTATAAGGATAATGGAAAACTGTTATCAAATTATTGCATTATCATGGGTGCTTGATACGTTTCAAATTAATCACACTTCTGGAAATTGGTGAAAATTATGCTCAAAGATTCCGTTACATGCATACATACAGGCCTAAGCGTGTTAAAAAAAACAAAAGATATTATAATGTAGTTCTCAAAAATTTGATAACAGAGCCGATTAAAGTGAGTAGTTTAATCCCGTTGAAACTACAGGTTTGGATAGTTTTTGACAGCTCCCATTACAGCACCATTGCTGGATTCCGATGAATGGAAACTAGACTTCTGAAACTCTCAATCTAAACGTTCGATAATTCCATCCATCAATCTGCTGCTATGAAAAATTCAAACCATATTATCTATTTTGTTTTACCTTGTATAATTAGCAGGATGTGAAGACAACATACGATGGGAGTTTCCTAGACCGTGGTTATTCTAAGCTATACCGATGCGTCAATTAAATCTACTTGACATTTTTGCTGAGTGAACATGAGGGCCCCAATAAAGAAATCTCGGAAGAAGGTGGTAAATTTAGAAGACGTAATCAGGACGAAGCCCTTTCCACATATCCCCACGGTATCATCCTTATATACAGGTATTCCAGATGATCCATCTCCTCCTGAAGAGCCTGATGTACTTCCTACAGTGCCCGAAGTTCCTGTGGAGCCTGAAGAGGACGAGGAGGACGAGGAGGAGCACGAGGACGAGCACGAGGACGAGGAAGACCCTACCTGCTGTCAAACATTTCGCATGAGAAGGTAGGGGGTATAAAGCTCGAATACACGTTGATTCAGAATGCGAGATGTGGCTCACAAGAGTACCAGTTTTGCTGTAGTCAATCTTATACTATAGCTGTGACTATAGGTACAGAGTGTAAAGTTAGTAGTGGATCAACGGAAGTCAGGTGATAAACGGCCTCAAAACCTATGGAATGAACCCCTATATGGGTGGTCCGAAATTTTAGTAGTAGTAGTTCAGGAGATATTTGCAATTTTGTGAAATTTCGAAAAAAAACGGGACTATGAACTCTCAGCTGCAATTACAACTAAATCATTCGGTTTAGGGCTGTGACTCTTTTCTGAGATGAGTTAAATGGTTAGTTTTAGCAATGGTTATGTCACTTTTTAACAGAGCCTATTAGAAATAAACGCAAAAAAATATTGAAATTCATTTTTTTGTGAAACATTACTTCCATCCATCAATTGTGGAGGGCGGTAAAAAATTGAGTTTGTATTTCATTATTCATTTTATTGTAAAATCTATTTAAATCCATGTAGAATAAACCCTGAAAATTTCAGGTTGCTACGATGAGTGTATCATGTCACATTCGTTGTTGTGATGCGATAAACGTAAGAAACGCAACAGAATACTTACCACCTACAAGTACAGAACCTGTTGTGTTTCGTCGCTCTTCATGGCGATTTACCGACAAATGTGGAAGACAATTTGATTTAACTAACTTTTGAAGAACATGTTCGGAATGGCCTCCATTATTTTCTATACAAAAAAATGTCCTTTAGTATTTGAAATGAATTTGCGTTTTCCATAATGTTTATTTTTTACTTCATCAATTTTCTGGTGCAGTTGGTTGACACTTGTATATTCAGCTGTATAGATTATCCCCTTATTAAACCTCCATATAAAAAATCTAGAGGATTTAAATCGGGTGACCTTGGAGGCCATCGTATGTGTCCAACTCTACCTATCCCACGCCCAGGAAAGGCTGTCTAAGTCACAAAAGATATACACTGAAAAAGGTTTAATTCCATGCTACTCGATGGCAACACGGTGACTTGTGTGGTTGTCAACGGCCATTTTTTGAGGGTGCGACATGGTTGCCAGACTGTGCATTAATATCCCGCAACGTTGCCAGCTCTACATATAAATCTAAAATTACTATACTTTTATATATATGAATTTGGTGGGATATGGGAGATCTTATTACATTTTGCGCTCTCTTGAACAATAAATTTTTTTTTATGTTAAAATAGCAATGTCAATAACACAAGCTGTTATAAGATAACTCATATCTACTTACTAATCTGGAAAGGTTCAGAAGAAAAACGTAAACTGCAAATACCTAAATATGTATATATTTGATATACGAATCTCATACATTTTTCTACAAACATATCAGTATTAACATTATTATGGTCCAGATGTTTTCATTTCCGAGCCCTTGTTGGCACCTGCATAAACTGAAAATTAGAAAAAAATTGAATTGTGTTGATATGTTACTACAATTCACATATTTCTTTTTTTTATTAGAACAATAATATTATTGTCCACCGGTACCCACAGGAATTTTTCTCAGTGGTGCTGATCATCATCAAGAGATAACTGTTACCACGATTCCCCTGACACCGCCCTGTGGGCACCCAAATATCACTATAAAATTTCGGACCACACATATAGGGGTTCATTCGATATGTTTTAAGGTCCTCTATCACCTGACTTCGTTAACCCACTACTAACTATACACTCGGTATGTATGTAGGCGGCAAGGCTTTGGTATCTCGCATTTCGAATCCTGCATTCTGGATTATTGAAGAATTTAATCATGTTCGACCCTCAGCCTATTTGAAATAGCTCTTGATTTTATCCAATTTGAGGGCCCGTTAAAGCGTTGCCGCAAACTGAGAAAACCCATATAGCCTTGGAAGTACTCGACATGAATGTTGATAAATTTTTACTTTTTGTCCCACATGAACGTATTCAGGAAAGGTAAGGGGGACAGCCGCCCCCCTTTCAGGCCTCAGAAAGTAAAATGAGAAGACTATTTTTTACATGATAAAAAAATTGTCTCTGTAGTCTTAACGCCAATATATGCTGAATGACATAGAATTTGGTTTCGTAGAGCCTTCAATGTTTGTGAGGTGAATTTTGCGACCTTGTTTCCACCATGTCCCATACATGTTCGATGGGGGAAAGGTCTGGAGATCGAGGAGGCCACTGGAGCAGATTTACTCAGGATGAGGTTTCTATCAAAATCCAATAAATAATTCTGGGTGTTGCATTTTATATGTCCCTTAGTATACAGGGTGTTCGAAAAATAGACATATTTTAGAGGGTGATTCCTTTGTTAAAAAATATGAAAAAAGGTTTATATAAGCATGGGTTCTCAAGATACAGTTGTTTGATTAAGCATATAAAAATATAACTTCTTTGCCGCTTGTATTTTTTTCGTATCTCACTTCGTTTTCGAGAAAAAAAAATTAAAACCGTTTAATTGCATGTCACTACATAAAATTGATTTGTTAATTTTTGCAAAAAAAATAATTTCTGTAATTTTATTTGCGAAATTTCTCTAAAAAGTCGAATAAAAATTATCACCCAGTACCTTGGAAACTCATGCATGCATTTCCGGATCCATGTTTATAGAAACTTTTTTCGATATTTTCACCCTCTAAAATATCTCCGTCTATTTGTCGAACACCCTGTATATTAGATACTAAGGTATTTGGGACTAGTTATTTGACTTATTCAGAGAGTCTTCGAAACACTGTTTTCAGATAACATATCTTCAACTCTATGTATCTTGCTGTTATAATGCAAAAAATTTTTATGACCGAGCTAGTCAGGAAAATAAATATACGTGGGATTCTCAAATTGTCTCAAAGCAAAGTCCGTCCGACGGTAGAAATGGAATCTACCTCAAAAGTGTGGTAACTTTATTACAATCGTCTTAAAATAAACTTTGGTTTAAATGAAACTAGTATGGTTATTTGTATTCATATTTTAAATAATTTGAATTTGGAAAAACCGATTGAGAAACATCGATGAAATATCCACAAACAGAAATTCCTTCCGCCCTGATTTTCAAAATATGGGGCAATATGTTTTAATATTCGTAACAACAAATTAATAAAGAATCGTCGGACGTTGTTTACTGGATAATATCGCTTACGCATATTGGTAGATTTGCATTTGAAATATGAAAAATGGGATCGCAAATTTTGTTTTTTCATACAGCCAGAAAATCAAAAAGAGACTAAATGGAAGATTCATATTTATGTTTCACTGGCTGTTAAATGAAACCATATACGTCTAAGGAAAAACTGGTTGTCGTTTCGGTGGTGGTCTTTTTCACCGAGGTGGGCGAAATGCAGTAAGATTTTTCTTTCCACATGGAACATGGAAAGAAATCTGCGAGACATCCGCAAGATCAGTTTAAGAAGCTGCATCAATAAATCTCAAGCATGAGGGGATCTAGAGTTTTTGATCTGATGACCAGTTTGTGACGGCGTTTTCACGTGCTCGTGCCCCTGATGTGTAACATCTGAAACTTATACTGATTTTCATGCAGATAATCACTTTTGTCTAGCCGAATCCAGCCTCATATTTTTCCACCGAAGCCTTAGCGCAGGGCACCGCTACTAGACTATTCCACAATCTCGATACCCTAGGGACAAAGGAGCGATCGTATCGGCCAGTTGTGGATGTACGAACTTTGACACGGTAGGATGCGACGCCAAAGTTAGGCGTGTCTGTCTGGCAGGCACATAGCGCGGCGGCATCATGGAAGAGAGCTCTGAGGTGTAAAGCCCGTTGTTGTAGAGATAGAAGAGAGCTAGATCGCCGAAGGCCCGCCGGTGCGAAATAGTCCGCGACTGTCTGTTAGAGAAGAGTCATCGATCAGTCCGACCGCTCTCCTCTGGACAGCATCGAGCATGGATAATGTAGTCGGGGCGGCAGCACCTCAAACGTGTGAGCAATACTCGAGACTAGGCCTTATCTGGGCCTTGTATAGAGTGAGAAGGTCATGCGGAGAAAAGTACTTCTTAGCCCTAAGCAAATAGCATAGCTTTTTCCCAGCAGCTGCAGCTATTGAGGAGATGTACTCGTGCCAGATCAGGTCCTCGGTGACCTGGACTCCGACCAGCCGAAATGAATTGCTTTTTGGC